TCTCAATATCTTTTCTCAAACATTTTAAATGTTAGAGATTTTTAAACTAAATGTTAAATCACTTTATATCTATATATCTTTATTTTGTACCGTTTTCAGGCTGTAAATAATACATGTTTTGTAACATAAGGACGAGACTTACAAGGAAAAAATCGTGATTCGTACGGTTGGTTATTTGAGGTGCAATGATTAAAAAGAGCTGTTAAAGTATAAGCTGATGCCAATAGTACTCATAGAATTGAAATGGGCGTTTTCTTATTTGATGTTCTGTACGTAAAGGTTCTCACTACAGGAAATTGGGGGAAGAAATAGAAAACTGAGGCTCAAAACCCAAAAAATGACACTCTTCTAGGGAAGGAAAAACCACCATTACAAAAATATCTGAACAGATCGTTTTACTTCACTTCTGCATTTTGAGTATTTTGTAGGTTAGTACAATGTCAGTAGTCTGTTCCTGCCTCGAGTTGAAGTTTTCATGAGCGGAGAGTAGAACAAACGGCGCCACCCTCAACGTCACAAACTCGCACGAAAACCCGCGAAATTGCGCGGCTCTCGTGTGGAATAATTTCAGGAGATGGGCCATCGTTTTGCGACTTTCAGGCTTTCTAAACTTTCCAAGTGCTTCATATCTCGATAGGCAATGCAAAGTGGAAGAATGAGCCAATGTTATATAAACATTACCAGAAATACGTTTGTCGCAAAAAGACAAAGAATCCAAAAGACAGACGCTGTTTGAAGCCGGTACAGCTGAATTTATCATGAATTCAAAGATATTTGAGGAAAGCCATAATTATTTGTTAGTTTTTGTTAATTTCTACGCTAGTTCCCCCCCCAAGTTTTTCTTGTTTCGTCCGAACGGCATATTCAACGTACGACATCTCCGAAATCTTTTCGTCGGTGGATTTGTCAAAAACACTCTGATTACGGTGATTACTATAAAGAAGAATCACATTCACAGTCCACACATTTAGAGCTATTTTATATCACTTTTTACTTATTTTAGAAATACATTTTGTATCTTGTGTTCGCAAGATTTCCCGCCTTTCTCGATTTGACCGAAATGCTCAAATGTAAGTCGCGCGTTTCCTTTCTTTAGCCTACCCATATTTTTTCGCGAAAACGAGGTTTCGTAATATCGAGATACTTATTCATAGATTTTCTTATTACTGGAGCAAAGAATATATCGAAGACCTCGTTATATAGATGTTCGTGAAATCGAGGTTCTACTGTATTTCACTGGCACCTGTTGCAGTGAGTTATGACGTAGTGGGAGGATTTTTCAACACCGTTCTCCTGTATAAGCAATTTTTCTTTTATTTTTTAAAAACGTTATCGAACTAACTTTAAACTGACCGATCCGAAATCAGGAAGTAATCTAACAACGAAAAAAATAATTTAGGGTCTTAGGTAATGTTTACTTCTAAATCACGGAAAGCAAGCACTTGATGTTGACCATGATCCAGGGAGTCATGAAGCGAACTGCTAAATGGCGCACTGCCATCAAAGAATGGATTTTTCCTCTGGATATGTGCCATTAAAGGATGAAAATACGATCTAATATTTGTTGTAAACATCAGCGCCATAACGCCTAAGAAATCTTTTACAGCAATCTTTCTGTCCAAATGTTTGACGAACAAACGGTAAGGAGAAGACCCGTAGTTTACCTTTAACCTATAATCATGTAATTGCCACTAGCGTTACAGATAATGCTAATCCGGCAATGGAGCTGCCAGCGTTCGCTCAATTACATGGTACCAGAACAAATGAAAAACAACGATGTAAATTACATTATTATGTTAAATTAGTAGACTCTCTTCAGATGAATTCTGGGTATGACTAAGAACTAACAACGTCAGCTGACAACTCGTTTCATACGGGGATTGATTTTTCATAAAAAAAAAAAAAGTGTAAGCGTCAACTGAAGAGGATGGGCGTCTGATCTTAAAGTCGTGAGTGGCCCTCGTACTGTCATACGCAGGCACGGAGATGAGGTCATAGGGAAGGGGGATGTTGACTTGACCTCCATATCATGTATTTTATAAAACATACGAGATCGCATATCCTGCGCCTTGACTGCAGAGAAGGCCAGTTCAAATCAGTAAGCATTGATGAAACGCTACGGTAGCGGCTGTAATCGTTGTTAACAAACGTGCTGCACGGCGTTGAAAGGATTCAATACCGTCAATATCTTTCTTTGTGTGTGGCCATGGAGACCAAGCAACCGTGGCTTATTCAACAATCGGACGCTGACTCGTCCCCAGTCGTCTCTAATTATTAGTTTTTGGCGTGGAAAACTAGAACGGCGCATAACCCAAGGGCTTCCCTAGTAAATAATTAATGAGAAGAGACAACTTAGAGACGACTGGGGACGAGTCAGAATCGGACGCACTAAATAAGGATGGGTATGAGCGTTCTTCTACAGATCGACCGCACAATGAGAGATTCCTTTGAAGGATCCCTAAGACTCTCATAGCCTTCCTTTTTGCTTCGTCACACTAGTACTGCAATTGCCAACTTAACGTACATGTCATATAGACGCCGAAGTACTTTTGGTGGCAAGCACCGTCAAGCTGTGCATTACATAGGAGGAAACTAAACTGGGACAGAGAAATCTTCAAAGTAATGGACATCACAAAACATTTTGTAGGAACAAATTTCATCTGCCATGTCGAGGCCCACTTCTCTAGTTGATCGACGTCTCGCCGTGGAGAGCAACATGATCGCCAATGGAATTAATCTGACGGTAAAGAACACAGTCGTAGCGAAGAGCTTAATGCTAGGTGTGATATTGGTATCTAGATCGTTCATAAACATCAAAAAGAGAATGGGCCTCAGTAAGGTTCCCTGAGGCACCCCGAAGACTACAGGCGATCTTTGGCTACGCCCAGTTACAAGCTTTGGAGCCGGATGTTTGCCTTTCTACGATATCTGTAGCAGTCAGTTTTAAGTAAAAGCCGTTCATGGGGAACGGAATCGAAAGCTTTCGCAAAGTCTAGAATTACAGCATCGACTGGACCATGGACGTTTAGGACTAATGCCCATCTGTGTATGACGGTGATGATCTGAGTTGAGTCTCACATGACAGACCCCGCCGAAAACTTTGCTGATGCTGAGAGACAATGCGATTTGTCGAAAGGTGTCGTGATATGTGGAAGGATACTACATGTATATGTTCCATGACTTTAGATGTGAGGGATGTTAGAGACACCGGTCTGTAGTTTTTAGTATTAGCAATTATTCAGCTTCCACCGCTATTCTTAATCGACATATGACACTTAAGATTAGCTCGATTTTTTTGATTTGTCAAATTTACTGAGAATATATATAGGACTGCTGGTCATTTAGTGTTTTGAAAACCTTGACCGGTTACCGGCCATATAGTCACAGCGTACGTTTTCACGCCAAAAAATCACTATACAGTGAAAGACCATTCTCTTTGGCTTTGCGGTAAGCCTCTCTTTTTTCGTGCCTTTCCCGTCTCGTGCCTTGAGCCACGCGCGTGGTTATTTGCGTGTCTCGCTCGTTTTGCTCGAGTCTACGCTGAGAAGGACTCTAGACTCGATTTGAAAGGACAAAACTGGACTGATTCCAAAAATTTAAGATGGGTCACGTTTAGCTCTAAAGTGATTTTAATATTAACTGGAACAAAATATCAAAACACTGAATATGAATTACTTTTACTTGGAAGAGACGAAGAGTTGACTTTAAAATATTGGTGAATATAACATTTGCATTTAAACGAGCTATCGCTCATATGCGATATGTGGTTAAATAAAATTACTTACTTACTTACTTACACTAACAACGAATTAACAGTAAATAAAACTAAGGCTGCATTTATCCGGTTATCGCGTGATCCCGAGATCGCCTGATCGTGCGTGGGATGGGTATCAATTACGTCTAAGCCCTCGGCAATCAAGAGTGAAAAGTGCTAAACGAAGCGAATAGTTGTATATTCATTTTGCTGAACACTGATTCGATTTAGTTCGTTACATTTCATCGTTCATCGACAGCATTTCCTTTTCGGTTGAGGAGGACCTTAAACATACAATCGGTAAAGTATAAAAATATTCAAATAGCAAAGTCAATACCGTATGCGCGTAATCTTCAGCGCTGCATCACATCTGCAGTGCCATGGGCTCTGCGGAAGGAAGTTTGAACTTTGTTATCCTAAACAAAGCGTTGGCCGTAAATATTAGGCTAAAGGCGATCTTACCAGGTTATCGTGAGAAAGACCTCTTTTGGTTTTCTTTAGATGGCGAACAATCTCTCAGTCATATTTCCTTGAAAGCTTCTGACCCCGGGGGACCACTCAACAAGTTTTATAAGGGAAGGCTCCTCCCTAAGTCCAACCCCTTTTGAAGAGATAGGTACCTTTATTCACCATACATTCATACACATAACCTTTAGATAATTAAAGGGAGGAGATCAAGCAAGTTTTGTTGAGCTTTTAGATAATCTCCCCTTTATCAGGGAGCCTTCATCTCCCATACTGGCCCTGTGACACAGCGTCTTTAAACTTTGGGCTATTTTTGGGATACGTAATACAAAGCTCTTTGTCACACGTCCTTGACACACAACCTGATCCAACCAATCGGATCTTTGTTTTTCATTAGATGTAGCAAGATCATATGTCTAACGTAAGAATTACTGTCTCTTTTCACACTTTAGAAAAAGTTAATTTGCCTCTACTGTGATGGAAAGAGCTGGTTCGTCGTTAGCTTGAGGTTGAAATTATTACTGAATGACTGCTATCTGGTAGTTCCGGAGGTCACGTCCGTCTGACTTCGTTCAGCTGTGATCAAGTGGCACTGCGTTCGGCGCCCGGGGGGAGGGGGTACTCCCATATACGGGCTATATAGGGGTGTGCCGCTCTGAAGGGTATGGTTCTCAAGTACAGTGGAACCCCGTTAATGCGACCACCGTTGGGCCATAAAATCCTGGTCGTAATAACGAGGTGGTCGCATTAACGGGGTCCTCAAAATAATAAAATGACTCAA